TCGTTTGGGGTCGCCCTTTTTTATTTTATAAACTGCTTGTTTACTTTTAATGAAACTTTGATATAAATAGTAATTTAATAACACGAAGCCTATAACAGAGTCTAGTTGGATCTTAGTGTTGCTTATATATAATTTCACATGAATTTATATACTGATATAGATAGTTTTTCTAAACTGCGCGCCCAACAATTCGTCGGTCTTGAAACGTAACTCTAATAACTGTCGTAGTACTATCATGAATTAAATTGATTAACAATTTAATAATTATTTGATGCTCTTTTGGCACCTTATATCGATCTCTAACGACGTGTTAAAGTCTAAAAATAATAATTCTTATTGCAAAAAATATTACCTTGGCCGGGAGTCGATTCGTATTTAGTTAGTTATGTTGTTACATTGACAGTCCTTTAAAATTTAATATTGTTTATTAACGTGCTTGAAATAAAACGTTTCTCACTTCACATACACCACTTATTGCGAGGAATATTATTATACTAAGGCCTCAGTAGTCTAATTGGCTAAGACACTTAGTTATGTTGTTATATTGACGGTCCTTTAAAATTTAATATAATTTAATAATCTTTTATTCGATTCTGAGATTAAAAATAAAAAATTCAAAATAGTGTGTTTAAATGATTTAATATAGGGTGCGGTCGAGTTACCACTACGTATATTTCGAAGTATTTTTTGATTGGCCATTTAGTAAGCTTCTTTCTTCGAATGGTCAATCAAACTGTTTTGAAGTATTCGTAGCGACAACTCCACTGCACCTATAGTAGACAAATTAAAAAAAAAATGATTATCATAACACTTAATTTTAACGACTGTAATTGTAAAATAACATTATGTTTCCAGCTTCGCTTTATTTGAAATTCATCAGTGATACGTAAATAGTTAGTACTAATTTTCAAACTGACTTTCAAACTCTAATTATGAATCCTGTGACATTAAATCCTTCTTAGTTTAAGTTAAGTTATTATCCCTTGAAAATTCGATATTTTCAGGCTACATTCAAACATAAAAGAGAAAGAAAAAAACCAAGAATCTCCTAAAATCGAGTTTTATAATAATCAGGATTATTTTTTTAAATCTGAATTTTAGAATTCTGAGACCAGAATTAAATTTAATCCCAAAAATTTTTAGAAATAAGATCTTCCATAAGTTACTTTATTAGAAAACTCTGATTCTCAATGAATTAACTTTTACAAGATGGAACAATCACCTATAGTGACAGTGTTACATTTTTCGTGATAAGAAATATACTAAAATAATAAATTACGACAAATCTTGCTGAAGAAAAAAGCTTTAAAATTTCAAAAATAGACTTTCCCCCTTTCAAGGTTAAAGTTTCAATGCACTACCTTCTATTTTTCTAAATTCTCTGCTTTTAAATATCGACTGCTTTTTTACGAAAAAAAAATCGAACAATTTTAACATTGAGATTTTTAATCGGTCATAATTCTTACTAAAATCAACGAATGCATGTGTTTTAAAAAGCACCATTATCCAGTCATGATTTTACACAACTCAATATTATATTAATACCACATCAAGCGTTTGGTAAAACAAGTGAAACATTTCTGATTGCATTTATTCCTCGCAGCTTTATTAGAGCTTATACAAAACGTAACACACACATATGTCTCCTGCACGTGTCAACAACCGTACACTGACTTTCAGGATTTTAGCTATCGGGTTACTTGTGCTACGCATGATTAATGCGTGCATTAATTTTACCATAAACTTCCACGGATAAAAAATATGGAATCGCTTATTAATAATGTTAATCCACGGGATCGAACGACGGCAAACGAGGTAAAACACACAGTACGCTTTTATTAATTGATAAATATTCTCGCGCGCAATATGCGCTCCGCCATGCTAACGACGTTTCTGTCGGCTTTTGCGTTGAAAAATATAGCCGATTAAATCATATATTATAAAGTTGGACGTAAATTACGATTATTTCGCATACATAAACGTCACAATTCCGAATTTCCAGTATAAATACAACGCTCAACCTTTCGCGTTCTATGTATTACATTTTCATTGATGTCGTCATTATCTTTGCATAATTCTTCATGTTATACAATAAAATTTGCCTAATTATCAGCTTATCTTAAAAAGTAAAGCACGAAGTTTATAAGAAACAGTCGAATTAAATGCGAATTTTATGTATAATAATTACCTATAAAAAGATACGAAAAGTATTATCGAAGAAAATACATTTTTATGTGTTGCGCTAAATGGCAGAATTCGTTAATTTGATAAACCGGTGGTCATTTTATTTCTTTACGTAAATGACTATCTGGAATGCCTTTACATCCCAATTAAAAATCAGTATTAACAATGTATCGTATATCATTTTCCGATTTATTAAATAGTATTTAAGGACAAGGATATGGACTTATTCCTAATCATAGTTTTCTGAAAAATGCAAGTGGAAACTAAACAAATATTAAAAAAAGAATAAGTAGCTTATTATAGCAGCATTTCTAAAAGATAAAGACGTTGATTAATCCTGCTAATCGGTTTATTTGCAGTCTATTTGATTCAAATTTATTTCTTATATTTGATCATTTTGTCGGTTAATATAAGATGTTTTTTCAATGAAAATATTTTATTCTTTATTTTTTAACCATACCGATCTAAACGATATGATACACGTATAAATTTGGCACGATTGATAAAACGCTTTTTTATTGTGAGTTTTCAATGAAATTGCAAATTTAAAAATAAATAAAAAATAGTTATTAAAAAGGAACGTAAAAAGTTATTCAAAAAAGAAAAAAATATATTAAACAATATCTATTTTATAACAATTTAGACTTTTTGCAGTTGAATTGTAAAAATATGGTGACTACCCCGGTGTTAAAAAGAAATTATACGAATGGAAATAAATTTGTTGTACTATACGGTAGCGTATTCACATTTTATTATGAGAAAAGCCGCAGACGTGAAATGCAGCGTGAAAACTGGGATTATACGTAGAAACGTGAGTTTCACGTTCTGCTGCGGATCACTCGGCTATACTAATTATCTTTGCTATCACCAGCTATTCTTGCTTGCAATTGTTCGTCACATTAACGGAACCTGTCCACGAAGGGGAGATACGGATAGCGAATCGATGCGATACGTGCCGGATGGGGAAACGGGATCAGTTTGTGCCGCGGATACGAGCTTGGCAAATACGTGACCATTGGCCAATCCTCATTTACATGGCGTTAATTAATCCCGTGTAGTTTATACACGCATTTCGGTCCCGTGATTTTCCAAGCGTGACCGATAACAATTCGCGAATCATATGGAAATTCGACATGTCAGTACGTTCGCCAAATTAGTGGATATTGTTTCATAAGCACGTCGAAATTGCATGAGATCGAATTTCGTCCAATTATTTGCTTTCTGCATCGCAAATTGTCACGTGGCAATAGTATATAAATGAATACACAGCCAACTAATATCACATTTGGATCTAAAAGAAATTGGTAATATGTTGGGAAAGGCAAAATATGCGATATTATCCTATATTCCACTATTCGAATATATTCCGAAACTTTTTTTCTATATTCGTTTACAGACCAATGACTGCCTAATAAGTCGCTTGGATCGTGAAATAAATGTGCAATTTGGACGCACACATGCTAAAAGGAGAAAACCATTTCCTTAGCAGACGGGAAGGTTGCAATGCAAAGTTGCACGCGAAGTCTATCCTACTGGTACTAACACTGACGACCGTCAGGTCTGACTAGACGCGGACCCTCACTACTACGCCCCTCAGACATGTTTCACTGCCACTAGAAAGCTACAGTCGATCTTGAAAGAGTTGCATGCGTGACACTCACTTTAAAATTATTTTTGTGACTAATTCAATCAGTTAATAAATAAGAGAAAAAGTAAGTAGACCGTTTGGGACACGTAAAATGAGTTAAAAATTTAATGTCTATTAATTTTCCAATTGTATTGTAGTAGAGCTTGCGTTTCAAGTCTGAAAAAAAAAATTCAACGATCAATAAATCTACATACGTAATATATAAATTCACACGTAATTATATATAGAAGCACTCAAGATTCCAGCTTGACCGTTATGACGTGTTCTCATCGGTTTTTTATTGGTTTAAATGATTTTTATTAAATTAATATATTTAATTCCATAATATTCTATTTTATGAATATGTGCTCTCTCTCAGATAAATCATCATGATCATAACGCGGAAAATATATATCTTCTATTTGTGGTTCTAGACCAGAATTGTCGAAAATGACGAGAGATGGTATTAGAATATACAAATTAGTTCGGTCCGTTTTCCAAAAGATCGCTCCGGTTGTTGTGAATGGTTCATAATGACAACTGATTTTGGTGGTTTTAGAGAGGTTAGACATCTGCTAATAATATTCAGTTTATATCGCTTTGAGTTTCATACAAAAACCTTGACTTTTACTGTGTTTGAAATGTCGAATTTTGTGTTAACCAAGCAGCATTTGCGGGAGGTTTTAATTTTCTGCTTTAATTGGAAGAAAAGTGCAGCTGAAGCCCATCGAATGCTTGTCGAAGTTTATGGTGACACACTGCTCCATCTGATAAATCATGTAGGGAATGGTTTCGACATTTCAAGAATGGAGATTTTAGCATTGAAGACAAGCCTCGCTCTGGACAGCCAAAAAATTCGAAGACAAAGAATTAGAGGCATTACTTGAAGAAGATCAAAGTCAAACGCAAGAGGAGCTTGCAGAATCGTTGGGAGTAACTCAACAAGCCGTTTCTGTACGATTGAGAGCCATGGGAATAATTCAAAAACAAGGAAATTGGGTGCCTTATGAACTGAAACCGAGACGTTGAAAGGCGATTTTTCACTTGCAATCAGCTGATTCAAAGGCAACAAAGAAAAGGTTTTTTGCATCGGATTGTGACTGGAGATGAGAAGTGGATATTCTACGACAACCCCAAGAAGAAAAAATACTATGCTAAGCCCGGTCAATCGTTGCCATCAACCTCAACATCAACACCAAAGCCGAACATTCGTGGTTCGAAGATCATGCTCTGTATCTGGTGGGACCAAAAGGGTGTTGTTTACTATGAGCTGCTGAAACCTGGCGATTCCATTACGGGCGATCGGTATCGGCTACAATTGATTCGTTTGAGCCGTGCATTGCGAGAAAAACGGCCGGAATACGAGCAAAGACATGATAAAGTTATTTTTCTTCATGACAACGCTCGGCCTCATGTCACAAAAGTCGTAAAAAAATATTTAGAAACGCTCAAATGGGATGTTTTACCGCACTCGCTGTATTCTCCGGACATTGCTCCTTCTGATTACTGGTTGTTCCGAAGGATGCAGCACGATTTGGCGGTTCACTACTTTCGCAGAAATCGAAAATTGGCTCCAAAATTGGATCGCCTCCAAAGACGAGTCATTTTTTTGAGATGGAATTCGAAAATTGCCTGAGAGATGGGAAAAAGTAGTAGCCAGCGATGGACAATACTTTAATTAATCTGTTCATTCATTTTGTTTTGAAATAAATGCATTTTTGAACACAAAAAAATGGACAGAACTAATTTGTACTCCCAATAAAGTATATTACGTTATGTGACCTAATTAGGAATATTATTAAATTTTAAATACAAAAACGTAGAGTTTAAGAAGTACTCCTCCAGTTACGAACTTTATGCGGAGAGGAAATCAATAATCGAGGACAAATACAAACAATGAAAAAGTGATAACCGCTGATGGTAGATTTTTATTTCGTAATATGTATTTACTCGAACCAATAAATTATAGTACAAGTTTTACATTGTAATATAATTTTTTCTTCTTTTTTCGTAAAAGTAGTGTCTTTTTGAAGATGCAGAGGATAACATATAGTCATTTAAATACGATTATAGATTTCACAGCAATACAAAATGGATTTGAATTTATATATAATTAAATTGACTATTACTGTCATGTATTAAAATAGAAAGAGAACGTTGTAATAGCGATAAAATATCGGATAATAATATTAACGGCACATTACTGTGAAGTAATGAATAGAAACAGTATTAATTATAAGGTATATACATTTTGGTAATGTTTTTGACGCAAAATCCAATCAGTGTAATTTGCTTACTAACATAATTGTCTAGATATAATGCTACGAGCACACAATTCCATTGTACAATTGATTTTCGCTTGTATATATACACATATTATCAGTTTTTAATAAACGTTTTAATTGTAAGATTAATTAGCATCTCACAAGATAAAATTTTCAAGATTAAATTCGGAGATTGAGATAAAAAAAAAACGAAATTTGATCAATTTGTTTCTAAAATAAACATATTATTAATATTCTGTCTGAATTTGAATCTTTTTTGATAAAAGTAAAATTTCATTTTCAAATTTCTCCGAAATAAACAAGACAGGAACGATTTCCTCTTCTAAAATATCTTATTAAAAATTATTTTAAATTAAAAATTATTTGATAATATAATAGAGACGTTGAAAAATAACTCTAAATTTTTTTACATTTTTTGGAAGTTTAAAACAATAAAAAAAACTTCGACTCTACGGAGAAAATAATAATATGATTACAGACAGAGAGTTAATTTTTTCATTTTTTTCTTATTACAACTAACATCTTTCTTTTGGATCGAAACAACCAAGTTTAGATATAAGTTTTATGTCAATTTTTATGTTTTTTTCTTAAACAACGTTTATCGTCACTTTATTAAAACAGATTAATTTTTATTTCTGATGGAAACAACATTAGATAAAAATAAATATGTTCGTGTTTTAGTATACGTTTTAGCTTGTCAAAGATAATAAAACTTTAATATGTTTAGTCTCGTAAAATCGATTGTATATAAATTGTTTGACTTATAATACTCCAATAATGTAAGCATCGTAATTCGGAAGTGAATTATTCCTGATTATTCGAAACGTATTAGCATAAAATTAACTGAGTTATATATACAATACAGCATCACGTAATAAGTTTTCATGTTATTGTTTCTGAAGTTCCAAAGTTCTTGATGCAACCACCTGCACTGAAACGATACTGATTTAGCATGAAATTATTCATGATTTATTTTGAATTTAAGATACACTTTTTCTGTCGTGTGCTTGTTAACGAAGTATGAGCCGTACGTTAATTTTAGCATGATTTTCTGTTTTTCTTCGAGCTCTCGCGCCATAAACTGAGTCAACAAAATTTACATAAGTACATTACGACTGCCAGCCAGATGCAATTTCAGTCCTGCAATTACGTTTGTTGCAAGCGCGACAGTTTGTGCAACTCGCAATTAAAGGAATGTCCGTCGCTTTGTTACTGTACCAGATTTTCAATTTGCAACATAGAGTTTATGACGAAGAATAAAGTCGACAATAAGATATAAGACGAAACAATGAGTAATGAAAGAATAGGTGCAAGATTCTATCAATATAAAAATATACGAGAAATTCTGAAGAAATTTCATAATTCATAAACTTCGTTCTCGCTTTATGAAATATCGCATTTCAAATAAATCTTGTACATATAATGCTTTTGCTTTAACGTGTCACGATATGAAACTGTACAATCGTGATACTTTCTTGCGTGATGCTAGTGGAATAAGTTTTTTTTATCTCTTTGACATTTCTAGCACACACACACACACACACACACATTACCGATTTTTATTTTATTCATGCTAGCGCACCAAAATTTCGCATATGTGTTTCACAATCATAATAATACTACGTAAAATTTATTCATGATAAATTTACTGCAAAATTTTATGCGAGCCAGATTTTATATGTTTATATAACAAATTGATGAGCGAAAAAAGGCAACAAATTATTAAATTTAAAGAAAAAGTATTGTAAATATAGGCGATATATACATATTCATAGTAAAATAATCAAATTAGACATTCCAGAAAACTAACAAATCACTTATGAATTTTTCATTAAAAAATCTTTCATAACTATTAATTTTCCTTTGGAAAAATGTTAAAAAGACATACTAAAAAAAATGACATGTAGAAAAAGCTTGGGATATCTGAAAGTAATTTAGCAAAGTGCAACGATAAATAAGAAAGCGCGCATTTCTCTCATAAAGTTATATAAAATAGAATATTATAGAAAATGATTGGCATCACTAGTCGATCGATAGAGCTCGTGAGTGAGGAAATACGTACAAATGTAGACTCATGTAGACGAATCAATCGTACAGATAAACGACCAAGATATTCACTGTAGCTCCTCTGCCTTAAGCCGTAATCACACTAGCGATTGCCGAGAATTGTGATTGTGACTGATAATTAGTGATTAATTTTTAACCAGTCACAACAAAGTAATCATCAATTACTTTTCTGATTGATTGATAAGAAATCAATTACTAACCGCGAGTCACAATTGCAATTCAATCGGCAATCACTAGTGTGATTACGACTTTAGAGAAGAACGATGATGCACGAATCCATGATGGGTATTGCGGGTTTCTACCCGCAGAATGTGAAAAAACTATTAAGTTCCATCCATGTAGAAAAGAATCAGATAAATCGGCAATCAGTCAGTTTTGAACTGCTCATTCTTCCTTGTCGAGAAAAACAGATTCAGAACGATAAACAAATAAAAAATAGTTTACAATTTAATAATAATTGTGACGTCTTAATAAAGACAATAAATTGTGATTCAAATCTTTATACTTCGTGAAAGAAAAATATAAACGATAAGCTTCAAATTTAACGAAGATAGTTATTCAATCTCTCTCTCTCTCTCTCTCACACACAATTATTTATATGCGATTAAAGTCAAAGATAGAGAAAAAATTGCGTTTACTAGAAAAATTAGAAACATTATTAACACAGAAGTACCACGGGTTTTTACTTACTAAAATTTTTTGTATACTAAAAGGGATGAAATAAATTAATTACTATAAAAATAAAAAAAAAATGATAAAACCCAAATATTAGTATAAAGAGTATAATTGTTGAAAAATAAATAAATTTCAGAGTTTTACCTTTAAAAATAATATATTGATTTAAAAAATAGAAACAGTTAATAACGACTGCTCAATACTTCTAATGTTAAAGCACTAAAAATATCACAACGAAAAACTTTTGTGATGTAAAGAGTATCACGTGGGTAAAGGAATGTAAGGAAAAGAACATAAATTACCGCGGTTCGAGCTCAGTCCTATTCGGTATGCAATGCGAGAGAAAATGCGCGGGTTTATCCTTCGAGAGAACGGGGTAAATCAAGAGGAGGAAAACGGTGATTTACATCGTGAGAACGCGCCGCTACGGCTCACTATGACTTACTGAATTTAACAGCGTAAGGTCAAAAACGTCGGACTGGGTACTTTGACTTTTCTACAAGTTAAAATGGAAAAACCGATCATCCCATCGATCGACTTGAACTCGAGGCGAAGAAAGCTAACATTGGTACATCGTTTTAGATGATGAATCAGATATAAATCCGGACGGTTGACTCTCGATCAATACGCATCTTCAAGCATATGTTGGAAGAATATTTGAAGTATTTGAAGCGTTTATAAAGCGTTAATATCACAGAAGTCAAAGTGAAGTAAACATTCGATTATACAGATTTACGACATTCACTGTTAGATATCAAAGGAACAGTAACTCAATCTCTTCAGTTAATATTTTGTTATTTTTAAATTCCATGTAAATCAAAATATAAATCAATCCATTTTTATAGTTAACTTCAAAGTAAACAATGTCCATATTTATGCATTTAGTAAATAATAAACTAATTTAAATTTTTAATACATTTTCTTGAGTTAAATTGTTTAAGTCTATTATTTTATAATAATTTAATCAACAACATGATGAATAGAAACAATAATAAGCTAAAAATAATTTAATTGTATACCCCTCCTCCCTCCCTCTCTTCTCTTACGATCTCATAAATTCCATTATTCAGGATATATTTAATATCAATCGTGTTTCCATACTCTAAATTGGATAAATAATTCTATTTCCATGTACGAAATAAAAATTGTTTAATATTTCCCTAAAGATTATACATGGAAAAAACCATTTTGTTGAAAGATCTAAGATTCTGCTAACTATAGATGTCAAATTAATTTTGTTAAACTATCAAAAAAATTACATAATTAATTAAAAATATTAAGCATGATAAACAATTCTGTAAAAAGTTTTGACATTCTAGCAATTAATTTAAGCATTCTATAATTGGTTCAACAAAATTATTTTCAGATCTAGCTGAATTTTTACATAAATATTTCAGCAAAACCGTCGTTTACACTTTTCGTGTATATGTCCTTTTTCAATTTAATAGACTTTATAAGAATTTAAACACATCACTCAAACAGAAATCTGTAAAATTAGATGTAAGAGAAATCTAAAATAATACTGCTTTACGGAATTTTCACGATTACGTGATGATTTAAA